AATATTCATTACATTGTAATTCATACAAGGATGTATACTATCTATCTACTTTAAACTAAAAACTAGGGCTACTTTACTCTCAGCCTGGGCTCTTTTAACCAGAGGAGACCAAAGCCCCACCTAGTCTATTATATATGCAAGCATATCTGGTGATGAATTATAGGTAATAAACATTTTTGACCAGATTATCAATTTATTCTCAGTACACTGAGATTTTGGTATTGTATGATTTGAGTCTTCTGTAGCTTTGTTATAGTTTCGGTTTTCTTATAGATTCTCTATTTTTGAGGGTGTTCTGTTAGGATTGTGCTATTCCTGGCATCTGCGTGTTCAGACTTTGTGATAGAGTTCTTTTTGGATCTTGTAAAATAGTTTACTAGATTTTGGTTTACTGTTGGTTTGAGTTAGTAGCTACGTTATAGCTTTAGGAATAAAGCTATGAACAGTTTTTATATAGCTATTCCTTGTGCTTTCTGTATTGTACGGATTACTTGAAAGTATAGATTCTCGAATTTCTCGAGTAATTTGTGGACATATATCTTCCTCTTCCAAAAAAAATAAAAAAATAAAAAAAAATAAACTATAGCTGATTACTATTAATAATAACAACTCAATAATTATTAGCAAAGCATATCTATTCAATTCTCAACTCAACACAACTTCTATTACATATTGAATACATAATATAGACTACTCACATATAGAATATTATCTAATTCTATCTATAATATGCAATCCTTGTTCTGGATGCAATTTAAATTCTAATAGAATCAAAAATCATTGTACTTTTGATATTTTTGCTACTCTGTCAACACAATTTTTAGGAAGAAAAACTACAAGTAATCAAATCTTATTGCTTAAATTTAATGCAAATAACCTGGATTTGATATATGCTACTGCAAATAGAAATCTAATATATATACCTCCTACTCCAAATATTCTTATATACAACAACTCTGTTTTTGAACAATTCAACTCTAATAGCTTATTACATTACTTAAATAATATTGCAATATCTAACTCTAATTCTACTAATTTAACTTTTTATACTGATAGATCTGTTTACAACTTGATGACTAACTAATACTCTATGAGTATAGGATGGGTACAAGTTAAAAACAACTTAATCATAAACTCTTTTGTAGCATAAGTTCAATATTAGCCTTCATCATATAAAATAGAATTACTAATAATACTATCTGCAATTAACACAGCTTCTCATAATTGCAAAGTTGATATCTATACAGACTCATAATCTATAATATCCAAATACCAAAAACTTACTTAAATAATAACAAATTTATTACACTACTACTCCTATAACAACTGGCCAATTTGGCATACTCTACTTAATCTTATCAAATTCTACAAGCTTATAATTTCACTTTACAAAGTAATAGCTCATAGTAATAATAAACTGAACAATATAGCTAATTTACTCATATAAAACTATCAAACATTACTACTTCTTGAATTCAAATATACTAACTTATATAATCCAAACTTCTATATTATATAAGAAAATTTTACTATAGAACAATTTATATACAAACTCATTAAAACAATTTGTAATGCCCATATTATTGCAATGTAGTTATTACAGAACTGTAATTAGCTATGGGCTAATCTATATAACCAAATCAATTAGAACTCAACATAGTTATATATCAATACAAGGGTAGGGCTAGCGCCAATAGCACTTATTTTTAATTGTATATAGTATTATTAAATTTTTTGTTTTTAGAATCAATTTGATTAGTTATATATATTTAAGTTTTAAATATTAAGATTTAGTGAGTAAATTGTATATAATGATATGCTTATAACTTATATAAAATAGAATAATTTGTGAGAATTAGGGATTGTATATAAATTTTGTATTAAATTTCTGTATGTTTAATTAGAAAAATTAAAGGTAATCAAATATATGTATAGTTCTATATGAATAATTTTTCATATAACGATTGTAAAAATCTATAGTAAAATACCAGAATTTTTAACAAATTTATTAAAAAATTTTAAATTAATAAAAAAATTGTTTCATTTTTTTTAAAATATAGATTTTATCAAATAATTTAGCAAAATTTATAATCAAATTAATATGTAAGTCGTAGAAGAGATATGATTTAAAGTTAGTAGTTTTTTATATTACTTCAAATCATATCTTTTCTATAATTTACATATTAATCTGTTTATCAATTTTGTTAAATTATTTAATAAGATCTATATTTTAAAAAAATAAAGCGTTTTTTTTTTATTATTTTAAAGTTTTTAATAAACTTGTTAAAAATTTTGGTATCTTATTATAAAATTTTATGATCATTACACGATAAATTATTCATATAGGACTATACATATATTTGATTTATAATGAATCGTGATCGATTTTTAAGAGTTTTTGTATCACATTGATTTGTATTATTACTGAACTCGATTATTGATATATAAGTTCCTATAATTGTCAAAGTGTTCTTTTCTCTTGGCGGTACTCATATTTAAAATTACAATTATTTGAAATTTCTATTTACAGAATTTATGTAAATTTATGTAAAATTGTCGTGATTTAACAATTCTAGGTGGTAGGGTATTTAAAATGTCAGAAATTTTGTTTAATTACATTAATTTCTGAAAATTATAGACTATAATATGTTAAAATTTTGTGTTTATTGGGTGGTTTTTGATTTATTAAAATTTGTATGTAGTGTTTTGAATTAGTTAGGCTATAATCGGTTTACTGTTTGAATTGAATAAATTTTGGGTAACTAGTTGATTAGATTTTTAATTAGTTGATTTGTACAATCAGTTAAGTATTGGTAATTAGTTGCCAGGATGTAAATAATATCAAGAAGGAACGAAGGGTCCAAAATTTCCGAAAAAAAAAAATAAATAAATAAATATAAAAAATTGAGTAATGGTCTGAGAACTTATAAGGATAAGAGTATGAAGTAATTTTAATCAGTTGCAGTTAGTTGATATTAAATATTTCAGTTCAGTTATCTGACTAAGGAATTTTTTATCGGTTCAAATCACTATTTGTATGTATTTATATTTATTGTTATTTTAGATTTGCAAAAATTTTTTTTCTTAAGTTTATTCGTAATTATTTGAATTTTTAAAGTATAAATAAATATAATGTCTATAGTTTTTAATATTTATTTTGTTTAAAAATTGTGTATTATAAATATTTAGAGTAAATTGTTTAGTGTTAGTATGGATTATTGTTTTTTTGTTAGGTTTAAATGTGCTAAGCGTTTATTGGATTAGTTCTTGATAGACTATGTTAGTTGTTTTTTCATCTGTGTTATTATTTGGTAGTAATATTAGGGTGTCATTTCTGTTTTTTACTCTAGATAATGCTGTATAAAGTTGTCCGTAGGTGAATATGTGAGTTCTGAGATCAATTATGACACAATCTAATGTAAGACCTTGACAACTATTGAAAGTTGTTGAATAAGCCAGGTGTAATAGGAATTGTTTACAATGTACTGTTTATGAACAATAGTCTTGTTGAAAGTAAAAGTTTATCCTAGGAATAAGAAAGGTTTCTGATAAATTTTCAGAATTATTATGTTTTAATATGGTTACTTCAATTAATCATTGTTTTAAGTTTGTGATTATTACTCGTATATTTTTTACTAATCCTTTGTCTATAGAGATGTTTTACATGATAGAGCATATAGTTCCAATTTTTAGGTGAATTTTATGATTAGGTATGTTAGTTGGGCTAAGTAGTCAGGTGTTGTTGTAGAATGATCAGTTATAATTTCATCATTTTCTTTAATGATATCATAACTGAAATATGTATGAATTGTTCTAGGTAGTTTATTGAGTATTTTGTAGTTAAAGTCATCAACTAATGAGTTGCATGAGCTAAGGAATGCTCTTTTCTGTAGAATGTTATTATCTGAAAGTATGTTTTCAGGGTATAGAAATAAAGTAGCTTCTTCAATATTTCGAGTAGTTTTAAATATATTTAAAGAAATTTCATAATTTTTATAGTTTTCGCTGATATTATCAATGAATTTCACAAAGATTGGGTTATTTGCATTGCGTATTGGTTGGTTGAGTACATATCTATGAAAATATTTCTATAAGTATGAAGTCTTAACTGATGCATTAATTGTTGAGGTCCTTCCTAAACCTTTAACTACTGGTGCTACTTGTCGAAAGTTACCAACACCTATTAGAGGTTTTTCTCCAAATAGTTTGTTGCTTTTGCAAATTTGTTGGAGAAGAATATCTACACTATCCAATACAGCTTTGTTTGCCATAAGAAGTTTATCCCATATGATTAATTTTGCTTCTCAAATTAAATCTGCTCAGTTACTCATGTATTTAATTGTTGATTGAATATTTATATTATTTTCTTCTACAGGAATACGAAATAATGAGTAGGCAGTATGTCCTCCTTCATAAAGAAGGGCTAATAAAGCCGTTGTTCTACATGTTAGAACAATTTCTCCTGCAGCTTGTATTGTATAACAAATAGCATTAATTAGAAATATTTTGCTGTAACCAGCTTTTCTATCTAAAAATATAGGAAATTCATATGTTTGAACAGGATTATCTTTTTTCTAGAGTATATGTTTTACAATATTTTCATAAAAAATTTTTTGCTCTTGAGTCATTTGCGAGTATGATTTTTTAGCTAGTTGTTTGTATCTGATATAATTAGAGTAACATTGATATTCTGCAATTACTTCTCGTATCCAGGTATTTGGTTCTGGAAGTCCAAAGTCTTTTATATATCATCTACATTCTGCAATAATAGAAGCTATTTGTTGTAATGTTATTTCAATAGCATTTAGGTTATTATGTAATTGTTCTTAATGATCAGTTGAAAAAGTTTTTTTATATTTTTCCCATAATTCAAGAGCCGGAGCACTATCTAATATAAGTTGTATAAATAGAAAACGTAGTTGTACAGGTATATAATAATTGCTAATAGCTTCTTCCATGATAAAGATATCTTCATTCTCTTTTGTAAATAGTCCTATTTCGTGTGCAGCTTCTTGGTATATATTATAAAGGTTTTTATTTACTATTTTGAGATCATCCCATGTTCAAGTAGCACGATACATTAAAATTGTTCTAAGGTAAAATATTTCACCAGTTCCTGGAGGAACTAAAACTATTCTAGTAATTTTGTTAGTAGTTCGTTTTCAAACAATTTTTCTCTGTATTTTTAAATGTTTTTTTTCAATAAAGTCATCTTCGCGTATTTTATTATATTGGTAGGGATATAGTATATATTGTTCATAGTATTCTGTATATTTTAAGTTACTAAAATGGGATTCTAATAGTCTAAGGAAGTAACGATCTAGTAATGAAGCTGTTGATGTAATATTCTTAATTCATCAGTATTGAGGGATATTAGCATTTTAAAGATGTATAGGAAGTGTTAGAACTGATAGATCTGATGTAGTTATAGGATAACGAAATATTCTCCATGCTGCTTCAGCTGCTGATAAGTATCTTCCATTAATATAATCTTTGAATTCGTTAATAGGTTGCCGACTAGAATTTTCAGATGTATTGTTTATAGTATAATTTATATGATCAGAGCCTTTAAAAAAGTATTTGTACAGATACATGAATAGGTGAATAGTTGAAGCAATTTCAAAATTAATGTGACATTCTAGTTTTAGGAGTAGCATAGGATTATATGGTACTATTCATGCATCTTCTCGTGTTTGGTAGTAATATTACACATAGTCTTTATCATCGACATATGTTTCTGAAATTAAAGGTTTTAGATATCTATATATACATTTATTATTACAGAGGCAACGTGATGAATGTTGTTGTTTGTGTACTATATACTTTTCTACCATATTTTTTAAATGTGATTGTTCATGAGGTAATTCTGCATTCACGATTTTATCAATTTGTTTAACAGGTAGTTCTGATTGTACGCGTATTACTATGTGAGCATAGGGAAATCCATGTTTTTGAAACTCTATTACATTGATCATATAAATAACTATTCCGAAGTATGTTCGTAACAAATCTTTTAATTTTTTAAGACAGGAATGAAATGCACGCACAATAATTGGAGCAATTTCTAATACATTTTGGTTGGGTTGTAATTGAAATTGGATTTCTGTCCAGTTTGGATTAGTGGTTATTGTAATAAAAAAACTCAGTTTTCCTTTACATCGGGCAAGGGCAAGAGCATTTGCAACATAGGATGAGCACTATCTTTTAGATCCTAAAAATGATGCAAGAAGATGTAAATCTCCATTCTCATTTTCGTCTTCATTTTCATAATCTTTTTCAATTGTTATATTGTTTCTATTTTGATTTATTTTTTCTTGGTAAATACGTTTTTTTTTATTTAAAATATAGTTTAAACGTTCTTCTTCAATACGTGAATACATGTTAACTAAATATTTGAAAGTTAGCCTTCCAAATATTAAGAATTGTTGCTCGCGTAATAAATGACATCTATACCAGTCAATTTGAAATAGGTTGTAAAAATTTTTGGGATGCCATCCGGGAGTACCATGAAGAAAAAGTAACAGATATTGCAATGGTTTATACTGAGAATTAAGTATGTTTATGAATTTATGTGCAATATTCATATTATGCCAGATTATAATACTACGTGGTTGTACATTAGCAATACTGTTGGTATGTATAACAGTAGCAACTTCTCTAGTAGATGTATTTTCACGTAGTTCAAGTATTCCATCATATGAATTGTTTTTAAAAACTCGTAATGAATATATATAGGAGTTAATTTTGGTCAATGTAATATTAATAATTGAAATCTATTCTTCTAGTATTTTATAGTTTCTGCCTGCAATATATTATTTTTGTTCATAATATATATACCAGTGTATTGGATAGTTTGGACTATTTATAGGTAGAATTTGATGGTAAGTGTATTCTGTAATACAAACTGAGGATGGTGCAGGCAAGTTTACAAATTGACCTTGAACTCCAATTGCCATGAAAGAAAAAAGTGCATTGAGTTTTCATGAAAAACTACTAATTTTAGGATTACTAAGAATAATATTCATATTCATAGGATAATCAGATAATAATGGTATAAGGCGTTTTCCTCGATTACAGCAAAATTCAGTCAGTTCACCTGTGAGAAGCACTGTTGAATAGTAGGGACATATTCGATCCCATGAGAAGGTTAATGGTATTAAAGCATTTCTATTTAAAGTGTATTGCGTATCTCACCAGAACATATTTTTTGATATATTATATTCCTGATCATGATTTTGAATTGTATTACAGGTTTTGTATTCAGATAAAGTGATTATCTGTCTATAAGGGTTTTCCCGTAATATTTCATTATTTTGATTTTTGTATGTTGTGTTGTTTGATTCTTTTAATGTAAGTTCTTTTTGTTTAATTGTAATTTGTTTTTTTGCTTGATATTCATGTTTATAATTTGTTATCTATTTTTTCATATGAAGTTTTGGTTTCAGCATTTTACTTTACTTTTTGAATATTTTGAATTAAGATGTTTTTTTTTCTTTTATATATACTATACATAGCGGTGTATAAAAAGTATAAAGTAGTATAAAAAGGAATAGTTGCTAATTAATAAATTTCAAATGATATAATATTATCAAATTTTTTTTCGATAAAATAAACGTAATAATTAGTTAGTCAAAGGTAATTATAACATATTCAATTTATTTTAATTTGGTAAGTAATAATTTGAATAGTTGTATTTAATAAGAACTGAGTTTTCTTTTTTTTTAGCATTACGGTATTCAAAAAAATTTTTCTTATTAAATTGATAAATCATTATTGATTATTATTATATTATTAAAAAAAATATATATAAAAAATAAAAGGTTAATAAAAAATATCTAATGCCTTGTTATGCAAGTACTATCATAAGAGTTAAATATGTAAAGAAATATGAATACGAAAATACTGATTTTATAAGAGTATAGGCAATTGGAGAATATCCTGTAGAGTGTGAGGATTATGAAATAGAGATGATTTTATTTGCACTGGCTAATTTAAATGAAAGAGACCCAGAATCGCAAACTTTTTTAAAAAAGATAATTTCTATTCTGTTGGAGGTAAAATTGTACTCAGTCATTATAGAAAAAATAAAAAAGCAAAGGTATGTTAAATTAAATCTCAAATTAAAATTAGCAACAGTTAATCAATTTCAATTATTAGATAAAAGTTTCTACTTCTACGTATTTAACTATTCTTAACAAAGTTGTTGTGTCGAATAAATGTCTACTCAAAATATCTTTAGTGGGAGTTCCTCAAAGTATGCCCCAAGAAGTTTTAAATGATGAAAACGCGATTATTCAAATATTAATTAATGATTACAATGGTGAAAAATGCAATTTTATTATGAAAATTATTTTTCCTTATCGTAATTCAAGATTAGCATATTTAAAGAATACTATTCGTCCTCATGAATCATTAATTTTTGTAGTTGGACAAATGTAAATTTTCAGTGATGATTTTTATGTTTATACTACAGATATTAATTTTATTGATACTCATTTTGATAAAAAAATTCTTGATAATTCTATGTCTTAAATTGTTTCGGTATCTGAAAATTCTGTTCATTCTAAACTTTTGGTCACATATCAGAATATTTCAGAAAGTGCTAAAGAGAAAGAAGAATCATTTACATCAAATTCGAATGATGCTCACAACAAACCTGAACTTAATTCATCTGATAATTTACCTTTACAAAAACGTGTACAAATTGAAGATGTCAAAGATGAACAATCAGATCATAAGTCCTATGCAGATGAGACAAATACTTTAATTGATTTTGAACAGGAAGAAGGAGAACCAAGTAACAGTTACCAAGAAAATAGTTTACAAGGTTGTAAAGGTAAAGAATCTAGTAATCGATATTTGCATAATGCTTTAAGATCACATAGTTTAATAACAGATTCTACTAAATGAAGATAATAAATATTCATAATTGTAGTTGTTTCTGATTTTTTTTTTTGTTATATCAGGCTTCATGGCTACGCTAGTAGTGCAAGGACTTGTTGTTTGGCTTCACGACTGCAGTAGCAGTGCAAGGACTTATGTTGTATTTGGCTCCACAGCTGCAAATAGCAGTACAAGGACCATAATATGAATGATCACTTACTTATATTGATATGAGTATATACATGTTACTCTGGTTATACCAACATCTGGATATAACGACACCATAGTAAAATCTTTCTATACTGACAATTTTTTTCAAAAATTTAATATAAAATATCGGTATAACTCACTATATCGACATTTTGGATTTTTTTACTAATGTCTCAAAAATGTCGATATAACCAGAGTAACGTGTATAGTATGAAAATATAAAAATAGTAGCGTAGGACAACTTTAAGTTCTTATACTCGTACGTATATTTAATAATAATACTTATAAGTAGAGAAGATGACCATACTTATAAGTATAGTGAGTATGAAGACGATCATACTTGTAAGTATGGATGATTATACCTGTGCGACGAAATGTGAAGCGAACACTTTGATATGCATAACGTATGTCACGTGAGAAATTGGGTTCCGAGCTTCCTTTCCGGAGCTCATATAACTTAGCCGCAGCATAATTTCATGGATAAGTAGATCTTCCACTTTATAGGGAACCCGTGGTTATAAGGGATATAATGGTTATAATGGTTATAATGGTTTTAAAGGATTTAACTATTATCGCCTGTATAATCATTATAGTGGTTTAAGGGTTATAGAGTTTATAATGATTATAACATTTATAAACATTATAAAGGTTTTATTAAATTTAATAGTTTTATTCATTATAGTGATAAACATTATCACCAAATCTATTGTTCTAACAAGTATATAAGCAAGCAATTCTGTTTTTTAATAAAAAATATTATTCAATTGATAAATTTTTCTTACCTATAACATAAAGTTTAAACCTTTCTTGATATATAAATTGCTTAATAATTTTAACTACATTTCACTAAGTAAATAAACTTGTACTCATTTAATATCATACTATCTATTTATTCTTTATAATAGAGTAAAGTATTATTAAATCATTAAGTAGAAAGAACTTGCCTAGTAAATCTTGTGTTTAACTATCCTAAGAAAGAGAATAGATCAACTTGTATAGATTAAAGGAAGTTAAGAGATTCAATAATGTTAAGACTAACTATATGACTAGAGTTTGAATGATAATTGAAGTCTTAAGATTCTTTTTGCCTAATCACTACATTATCTTCTAATAGGTTATTATAGAACATTATATAAAGATCTATAAGATTAAGTAATAGACTTGCTGTTTCCTTAGACAACAGTAGCCTCAGATGATTAGAACTAAGATCAGAAGCATAATATAGGTACTGTCAAAAGAAAACCTGATATCAGGCTTTCAAATATATTTTGTATACAGATTATATCCTGTATACTACTTATGATAAATTTATTATTAAATATTTAATTATATCTTATACCAGATATACCTTTGAAAAATCTGATTAGAAATTTAAATACTGTTATTATTAATATATTTTCATAATATAGTTTGTAATAATACAATAATTATTACAAGATTTTTCAGAGATATGTTGTCTGGCAAAAAATATAATTAAATATCTAATAATAAATTTATTATAGATAGAATACAGGAAACAATCTATATACAAAATATATTTGAAAGCTTGATAGCAGATTTTCTTTTGACAGTATACATATAGTGTGATAGGTAATAAATTAGTAATTAATAAAAAAGTATTAGCAAAAGTGAAACATAAAAAAATTAATATAGAGAATGATATAAATAATATAATTAATATATAATATAAAAGGTAAAAAAAAGTTTTGATAAATACATATAAATAAAAAGAAAAATTAATGTATATATATTCATTAAAGAAAGCAGTATTTCAAATAAAGGTTTCAGGTCTGGCAATCTTAGTATAGTAGTTAGGTTGCTGGACTGCTATGCAAGAGGTCTAGAGTTCAAATTCTACTGTATACGGAATTGAATAATTACCTAGATATCTGTATCTAACTTATGGTAAAACTCTGCCTGTTTCTGAGATATAACCCTATAAATCATATTGCACTAATACTAATCAGGGTATTGGAAGTATGATAGAGTGTTCGGTGAGGGTGTAATATTACACAAATAAATCTTAATAGAATCTATAGACAGGGAACCTGCATAGTAGAAATCCTGAGTTAAGTAAAGTAGTACAAATTTTAATAGTCATACTAGTTAATGTCTAATCTGGGAAAAAAAATCTGCATACAAAAAAATTAATAAAATAGATATAAGTAAGTTCTGAGTACAGAAGGATCAATAAAACAGATGTGAATAAGTCCATTACACAAAGTCGTATAACAACACCAACTTGGCTTAGCAGCTAACTAGAATTGGAAGGATCTGTCTTATGTGATATCTGGTGGCAAAGCAGGCAATACTAAGTAACAGATTTAGGAGAATCTACTTTGTGAGATATCTGGAGGCACAGATGACTAACTTAGTAGAAGGCTACAGTAGAAACCAGGTTTGTACAAACATCAAAAAAGAGTATATGCAAGCTAGATTAGAATATAGCATAGTATAGTTGGGTACTACAGTACTTATAGATTAGGAAGTTGGAGAAGGAGTACTTGAGATAGACCTAGACTTCAAATCTTAAAGTTCGTGAATACATGATAGCTCAGGTGTCTTCTTGAAGAAGTAGCATGAAGTTAGATGAACTTGGTAAAAAAGGATAGAATACGAGTAAGTGTCATAGAGCTAGAAGATTTAAATAGGTAATCTTCAAATAGATTTCAGGTATAGCAGCTAGTGTAGAACCTTCAGGTAGACTACTTAAATTAGACAATCTAAAGTTGTACGTGTAGCTAGTTATACTCTCACAATATGTAATCATTTACTTACTATTAATACTAATAAAAGTTTGGCCAATAGCATGTTGTATCAAGTAAAAAAAATAAAAATAAAAATAAAGTTTTTAATGAATTTTATAATAAAAAATCTACAGTAGAGATGGTAAAAAATTGATTTTAACTGATTTTTATAATTTTTAACTTAATTTAATAAATTGTTTTAAAATATTAGTAATTATAGTACTAATAGCTAGAGCTAAAATTACTATATCTAATTTGTTAATTTTTGACTTAAATATTACTGATATTTTGTTTTTTTTTGATATTAGTTTGTAAAAATTAATATTATCAAAAAATTAAATTAGTAAATTAGTAATATAGCTAATAATATAGCCACTTTATTTTGCTATAAGAAAATAAAATGTATATTTAAATTATTACAAATATTGTAATAACAATTTTATTACTACATGATCTTGCTTTTTTATGCTATACTTAATATATATAATAATTATAAAATTTAATTTTTATCTTTTTCAAACTATTTATAATTATTAATCTCCTTTTGAATTCTTAAATTTTAGTAAGCAGATACAAGTTTTTTTATTTGATTATTATTCAAACATGCTCAATTTTTACTATGAATAAACCTAAAATTAGACTAGTTACATTTAGCTATAGCTAAAGATATTAGAATTGGGAGAACTCGATAAGCAAGTTTAACTACAGTAAGAAACTTATTTGCAAAATTAGATTTCTACTAACTAATAGAATTTAAATATTCAACAGATGCTCAAAGTAGAGTTCTTAAAAATTTATCATATTTGGTAATATATTTTTGCATAATTCTATAAATCTTAATAATAAAAAATAAAAGTTAAATTAATATATATAGATAATAATCATAATATATTTTTTGTTAAAATATAGTATAGGCCTTATATATAATGCTAATTTAGGTGTATAAACTTCTTCAAGGTATAGTATAATAATTATTTTAAAATTATTAGGTTTCAAAAATTACTACAAAAACTATAAAAAATATATATATATATATATATTTGAAATTTAGGCAATTTTGCCTTTCATTTATTGAGAGAAAATATAATAATAATGTTATAATATAAATATAAACTAAACTAAGCTAGCTATATAAATATCCTTTCTATACAACTCTGAACTCACTTAGCTACTAGATAGTATCCAGATGCGATCTAACTGCAATAGTTAAATTTTCCTCCTAAAGAAATAGTTTGCCTAAGCAAAGTTATATTCAATTAATCAATAGAAGGTTATTATATACTGTTTTTATCAAGATTAACTAATTCTCTAACCTTCTTTTACTAGCTTTCTAAGTCAAAAAACATATATTTCAACTAACTAATGAAAAAAACAAATAGCAAGAAAAATTAAAAGGAAAATAACAAAAAGTAGGAAAAGATGCTGCCTATATGAAAAAAAAGAAAGCATAAAAAAAAAATAAAAGAAGAAAAAGAAGGCATAAAAAAAAATAATCAAGATAAAACATACTATTATAGCTTATACTAAGGTATAAAGAATAAAAATTATTGATAGTACTAATACATATACTACAAATCTCAAATATAACTTCTCATTAGCTATTATCCTATTTACTAAGCAAATCTGTATTAGCTTTACGTGTGTTAATTGACTTGTAAACAATTAAAATATGATTTGCTCAAAATAGAAAGTAGTATAAGTACTGATCTTTTGTTGGAGGTAAGCCAGAATCTCTACTTTTTTCAAAATAAAAAAAGCAATAGTCATCATATCAGTTTTGTTAGTCAAAGAATAAAAGAGGTTGTTTATAAAAATTAGTTACGAAGGGAAAGAGTATTGTAATGTTTGCCTAGTGCAAAATTCTATTTATTGTTTTCCTTCTCTCTACTACTTCTTTTATTCTCTTTTTTCTTTAAAATACTATAACATAAACTTTTAGCTAAAATAATAGTATTATCACCTGCTAGATCTTTTTGTCTCTTATATAAAGTATATTAGGCTATACAATTCGTGCTTCTATTTAATAACTACTATTTTGCTGAGTTTCCTAAAGTTATAAATATTTTGTATTTAAAAAATATTTGCTTTGTAATAGTTTAGGTAATCAGTGAGGAGAGTTGAATAAAAATGTAGATAGCTATATTATTATTGAAAAAAAATATATATTATTATTATTATTTTTTTTTTTTGTTTAGGTAATCTTGCCTTTTCTTTATTAAGAGAAAATATATACAATATTAAAACAAAAATA